TTAAGAGACAGGGGTTCTCACTCTGTTGCCTAGGCTGGAGTGCAGTAGTGAGATCACAGCTCACTGCAACCACAAACTCCTGGGGTCAAGTGATCCTCCCACCTTAGCCTCCCAAATAACTGGGACTAAAGGCATACACCACCATGCCTGGCTAATTTTTTAATTTTTTTTTTGTAGCAACAGAATCTTCTATGTTACCCAGGCTAGTCTCGAACTCCTGGCCTCAAAGAATCCTCCTGTCTTGGCCTCCTGAAGTGCTGGGATTACAGGCATAAGCCACTGTACCCAGACAAGAATTTGCCTTTCTAACAAGTTTCCAAAGTGATATTGATGCTGCTGGTCCAGGACCACAGTTTGAAAACCAATAGCTTAAATGAATTACACCATGGCTTCCTGGTCTGATGCCTCTAGTTTCCACCCTCCACAACAGGGAGAGCTCACCAGTGGGCCTTGAGTTCTTTCATGGCAGGGCCATCAAAAGAACTGTGTTTGATCGTCTCCCCTCTCCAACATAGGCACTTTTACATGGTTTTATGGGTTGAATTATTATCATTATTTTCACTTTCATCTCTACAGAAAATAATATAAAAATTAGCCGAGCATGGCGGTGGGTGCCTGTAGTCCCAGCTGCTCAGAAGGCTGAAGCGGGAGGATTGCTTGAGGCCAGGAGGTCGAGGCCACAGTGAGCCATGATTATAACCACTGCACTCCAGCTCAGGTGAAAGAATGAGATCCTATCCCTCGCCCCACCAAAAAGTAGTGACTGGACTCCAAAAGCATAGTCAACAAAAGAAAAAATAGACAAATGGGTTTATACCAAATTAAAGAGCTTCTGCACAGCAAAGGAAATGATAGAGTAAAGAGACAACCCACAGATCGAGAAAAAATATTTACAAAATATACATTAGATCAGGGACTAATATCCAAAATGTACAAATCAGACCACTCAATAACAATAAAACAAATAACCCTATTACAAAATGGGCAGGGCCAGGCTCAGTGACTCATGCCTGTAGTCCCAGTACTTTGGGGGGCTGAGGTGGGAGGACTGCTTGAACCCAGGAGTTTGAGACAAGTGTGGGCAATATAGTGAGACCCTGCCTCTAAAAAATAATATTAATACAAAGCTGCTGGGTATGGGCTGAATTATGTCTTCCCCAGAAGTTACTGAAGTCCTAACCTGCCAGTACCTGTGGTGATCTTATTTAAAAATAGGGTCTTTGCAAGTGTAATTAATCCAGTTAAGATGAAGTCATCAGCATGGGCTCTGATCCAATGCGACTTGTGTTGTTAAGAGAGGAGAAACAGAGACATGAGGGGAGCATGCCATGTAGCGATGGGGGCAGAGATTGAAGTGCTGTGGCTGCTAGCCAAGGATTGCCAGCAAACCCCCGGAAGCCAAGAAGCAGCAAGGACAGATTCTCCCCTACAGGTTTCAGAAGGAGCATAGTCTCGCCCACACTTTGATTGTAGACTTCTAGCCTCCAGAACTGTAAGACAATAAATTTCTCTTGTTTTAAGCCACCCAGTTTGTGGTTCTTTGTTACAACATTCCTAGGAAACTGATACCCTGAGGTATCATTTTACAGGTACCACCAATACAAGCCTTTTCTTAACTTCTTTTTTTTTTTTTTTTAAAAGACGGGGTTTCACCACGTTGGTCAGGCTGGTCTTGAACTCCTGACCTCGGGTGATCTGCCCACCTTGGCCTCCAAAGTGCTTAGATTACAGGCATGAGCCACCATGCCCAGCCTCTAACACCTTTTCAAAGTCATTTACTTCTTCACAGGCACTATGACTCACCCTCTACCAAATTTGAGGACATTTCCTTTCCTGAAGTCCATGAGCATGAGAAGCAAAGCAGTGAACTCTCATCTGCTGCCTTTTGACCTTCCTACTTTCCTGGAATGTATTTTATTATCCCTTATATTTTACTTGTCCACTTGGAGAAGGAAATGTGACAGCACAAACACATGATGAGCTGGGAAAGCCTCACGCCTCTGTTTCCCATCAGTTGTGTTCCATGAGAGCTGAGTAAGGACAAGGGAAGGTATGGGAGGGTGTACTCTCACCCTGGTCCTGGAGAACACGCCCAGAGGAAAGTGCAATCCATCACTGCTGCATCATTACCATCAAACTGTGCCACCACTCTGGTTCCTAACCTAGGTGGTTGGGGGTGGGGAATCTGTATTCATTTTCACCTTATTTCAGGGAAATTAACCTGAAGGTGCCTGTAGGGTCTGGGAGATAAAGGGGAAGGAGTCTTCATCTCTCTCCCAGACGGTCACCTTGTCTTCAGCACTACCCCCCTCCCAATTGTCCTCATGGAACAAAACCTCCTTCCTTGGCCTGCCATCCCCACAAGACAGCCATTCTCTTCCTGAGAAGAGGGTCTTTTCAGGAAGTGGAGGACTTTAAATTCCTCCTTGAATCTATGTTTGCAGTCCTCAGAACCCAGCCCGTCCCAACTTTTTCTCACACCTTCCAAACCACCCTGATTTTTCACCTGACCAACTTACTCTAGCACCTACAGCTTGCTATGCCTTCTTTGCCTCTTAGAGATGGCACCTGCTGTTCCTTATGCTTAAAACACCCTTCCAGCTGGGCACGGTGGCTCGTGCCTGTAATCTCAGCACATTGGGAGGCTAAGGGGGGCAGATCGCTTGAGCCCAGGAGTTCGAGACCAGCCTGGGCCATGGCAAAACCCTGTCTCTACAAAAAATACAAAAATTAGTTGGGTGTGGTGGTGCATGCCTGTAGTCCTAGCTACTTGGGAGGCTTGGGTGGGAGGATTGCTGCCCAGGAGCTTAAGGCTGCAGTGGATTGAGACCACCACAGAACTCCAGCCTGAGCAATAGAGTGAGACCCTGTCTCAAAAAACAAAACAAAACAAAAAAACCCTTCCATCTCCACACCACATGAAACATTCTTCGAGAGGGGGAGTGGGGAGGTTGTTCTGTGCACCCTGAGCACCCTACTTCCCTCTATCTAGAGGAAGGCCACATTGTCTGGTGAGTGCTTCTTTACTGACCCTCTCCCTTCACAAGACTAAACTCTCCAAGAACAGAGCCCTGGACTTGTTTGCATCTGCAGGAGGGAGTTTGTGATTCAAAATAGGCTTGTGGGCTTTTTCATGAGAGGAAGAAATGGGTGAAAAATAATGATAATCACAATGAAAGTTATTATTCATGCAAGATTTTGGGGGAGTCTGGCCTCCTGTATTCAAAATCTCATTTAAGGCCAAAGACACTTGGAACCCATTTATCCCCACTGCACAGGTGAGCAAACGGAGGATTTGAGAGGTAAAGAGTAGATCTCACAACCAGTTAAGTGGTCAAAATACAAGTGTGCCTGATTCCAAGGCCCCAGTCGCGCCCAATTGCTGCACGGCCAGACCGCGAATTGGTAGGCTAGCGGGGCTGCCCCTCCTGCTGACTGGGACCGAGATGCCCAGACCTGCTCCCGGGCCGGGGCCGGGGCCGCTTACGCCCTTGGCGTACCCGTGACGCGTGCGCAGTGCAGTGAGGCGCCCCCTGCGGGCGGCGCGCAGGAGGCGGTGGCGGCGGAGGGGCGCTCAATGCGCCTGCGCGCTGGTAGAGCTGGTAGCGGCGCTCCGTAGGGGTTCCGCGGTTCTCCGCGGTTCTCCGCGCGGCGGGCGCGGCCATGGCGCAGCCGGGGAAGCTGCTCAAGGAGCAGAAGTACGACCGGCAGCTGAGGTGAGCCAGGGCTCACCGAGCCGAGGGTGGGCCGGCGGGCTTCCCAGCGTCCGGGCCGGGCCTAAGGGCGCAGGCGGCGCGGTCGGGCCTCCCTCAGGCCTCCTTTCAGGCTGGGCCGGGCCGTGTGGGGCGCGGGAAGCCGGCGCTCTGGCCTCCCGCCTCGGGCCGAGGGTGCTCCGCGAGGGCCAGGACCCCTTTCCCCGCCACGCGGTGTGCGATTCGGGGCACACAGTCCCCGGTGCCAAGCCCGGTCGCTAGCGCGGCTGCCCGCCCCGCCTCGCTGCGCCCAGGCTCCTGGTTTTCAGAATGGGGAGGCCCAGAACACACCCCATCCCTGCCGCAAGAGCAGCATAGAGGGTTCGGTTTTGTTCTCACCAGCGCTGTCCAATAGAAATGTAATGCTAGTCTCATGTGAATCGCAAATTTAATTATAAATTTTATAGTATCCACACTAAAGGTAAAAAGAAACAGGTGAAATTTATTTTTAAATGCAATTTAACCCAATATGTCCAAAATATTATCTTAACACGTAATCAATATAAAAAGTTATGAAGACATTTTACTTAATTTAAAAAAATATTTTGTGTTTTTTGTAGAAACGGGATCTTGCCACCTTGCAGGATGGTCCTGAGTATTTTCCTTTTTAAAACTTAGAGGACGGGCACGGTGGCTCACGCCTGTAATCACTGCACTATGGGAGGCCGAGGCGGGTGGATCAGGAGTTTGAGGTCAGGAATTTGAGACCAGCCTGGGCAACGTGGTCAAACCTCATCTTTATTAAAAATTCAAAAATTAGCTGGGTGTGGTGACGCGCGCCTGTAATCCCATTTACTCTGGAGGCTGAGGCTGGAGAATCGTTTCAATCCAGTAGGTATAGGTTTCAGCGAGCTGAAATCACGCTACTACACTCCAGCCTGGGCAACAGAGGAAGACTCCTTCAAAAAAAAAAAAAGAAAAAGAAAAAGAAAACCCAAAACTGTCTTAGAAATACTGCCTTTTATGCTTACAGCACATCTCAGTTAACACTAGCCTCCTTGCTCAGTAGTACATGTAGCTGGCGGCTACCTTAATGGGCAGTGCAGGCCCAACCCATCAGGAGGGTCCTTGGCTACTTCCCCACCCTTGCCTTTTCTTTCACTCCCCATTCCTTATTTATTGAGCGTCTTCTTTGTCTTGAGGCTGTGGAGATAACAAAGCTGCTTGGCTTCCTCTTCCTGGAGCCTCTGAGACAACAGAAGTTATGTATCTCCAAGGACTGGAATTTCTGTTTGCACCACCAGCCTAGTGCTGTATTAAAGGCACTTAAGTCTGAGAGCACCCTTGAAAGCAGCCATTTCCTGTGCTTTACAATTAGGGAAACTGAGTCTTGGAGAAGTTAGGCAGCTTGCCCAGAGTTCCCCATATCTTGAGCCAGGATGTAAACTCAGGCTCTTCTGGGTTTTTTGGAGGTACACAGCTACATCCTGCTCCCAAGCTTTTAGGAAAAGAAAGAAAGGTGACAGTCCTTAAAACCAACTTAGGTTTTCTTGTAAACTATTGGAGTTTGTGTGTTTTTAATGCAGGTATAACCATACGTGACAGAGCTGAGAAGATAGTTGAGGTTACTAAGCAACTCTAACAAAAGAGGGGTTTTGCTGAAGACATTCCATTTAAGTCCCAAACTTTACCTTTCATAGTGAGAACTGGTTATTGGTTTTGAACTATCAAATGGAAGCGGAAGCAAAATGCAGCAGTCAATAAGGCCCTTCTGGTTTCACCTCAGTTGGGCCAGCAAGATAGTAGAGAGGACTGAATATGTTTTGCCTCTTCTTGAAACATGTTACTTAGAGGCTCACCAGGATTCTTTTTTTTTTTTTTTTTTTTTTTTTTAGGGACAAGGTCTCACTCTGTGACCCGGGCCAGAGTGCAGTGACAAGAACACTGTTCACTGCAGTTTCAACCTCCTGGGCTCAGACGATCCTCCTGCCTCAGCCTCCAGAGTAGCTGGGACTACAGGCATGTGCCACCATGCTCGGCTAACTTTTTTAGAGATGGGGTTTTGCCATGTTGCCCAGGCTGGAGTGCAGTGGCTGTTCACAGCTGTGATTCTGGCACACCACAACCTTGATCTCCTGGGCTGGAGTGATACTTCTGCCCGAGCCTCCCAAGCAGCTGGTACTATGGGCATACAATATCTCACCCTGGTCCAGATGTACCAGTATTCTTTTTTTTTTTTTTGAGACTGAATCTCACTCTGTCACCCAGGCTGGAGTGCAGTGGCGTGATCTTGGCTCACTGCAACCTCCGCTTCTCGGGGTCAAGTGATTCATGCCTCAGCCTCCCAAGTAGTAGCTGGGATTACAGGTGCGTATCACTGCACCCAGCTAATTTTTGTATTTTTAGTAGAGACAAGGTTTCTCCATGTTGGCCAGTCTGTCCTCGAACTCCTGAGCTCAGGTGATCTGCCTGCCTTGGCCTCCCAAAGTGCTGGGATTACAGGCGTGAGCCACCTTGCCCAGCCGAAATGAACAGTATTATTATTATTATTTTTTGAGACCTAGTCTTGCTCTGTTGCCAGGTGCCAGGCTGGAATGCAGTGGTGCAATCTCGGCTCACTGCAACCTTTGCCTCCCTGATGAACCAGTATTCTTAAGGTTACTCTCCAACTATTCAAGCATCCATCAACCATATGTCAGGTGTCTTCTGCGTGCCATACTTTCATGGAGAAAACAGGCGTTTACAGTCCATCTGGTTCTTCTAGGCGATTCCACCACACGTTTGACAGCTGTCAGGGCCCTTACGGAGCTTAGAGTGGAGTGGAAAGATGGATGCCCAGCAAACAAAAACAAATGAAGCCAGGTGCAGTGGCTTGTGCCTGAAGCCCCAGCAACTCTAGAGGCTGAGGCGAGAGGAATGCTTGAACCCAGTAGTTCAAGACCAGCCTGGACAACATAGTGAGACCCTGTCTCAAAAAAAAAAAGAAAAATGAGGCAGTTGCTTGTCATATGCTCTGGAAGACATGCTGGTTACATAATAAGGAGTAATCTGCTTTAGATCAGGTGATAGGAAAGTCACATTAATCATGCTATTAGAATGTTCATTGGGTATTATACTTTAAAGCACTCCTGTAGAAGTTGATGTGAGGCTTTTCAGATGATAATTCAGTTTTCTTGGTAAAGGTTTTGCCCACCCTTGGAGAAGTCACAGTAATAAGCCCTATGTCAAGATCTTAAATACATCTAACTTAACTTAAATGCATCTAATGTAATTTAAGAATAAATGAGGCCGGGCGTGGTGGCCCATGCCTGTAATCCCAGCATTTTGGGAGGCCGAGGTGGGCGGATCAGGAGGTCAGGAGATCGAGACCATCCTGGCTAACATGGTGAAACCCCATCTTCACTAAAAATGCAAAAAATTAGCCGGGCGTAGTGGGACGCACCTGTAGGACCAGCTACTAGGGAGGCTGAGGCAGGAGAATCACTTGAACCCAGGAGGTGGAGATTGCACTGATCACTGCACTCCAGCCTGGCGGCAGAATGAGAGGCCGTCTGAAAAAGAAAAAAAAAAAGATCACCATTCAAATAAGAAAGTTGTATTGTCATGAAAGCTTTAAAAATGTCAAATTTGTGTCTGTTTTGTAGGTTGTGGGGTGATCATGGGCAAGAGGCTTTAGAATCTGCTCATGTTTGCCTAATAAACGCAACAGCCACAGGAACTGAAATTCTTAAAAACTTGGTACTACCAGGTAATGTAGTTTTGTGGTTGTGTTCTAAATTTACTTCTTTAAGATTATGAACTAGAACTGTACATTCCTGACTTACTCTGTTTTGGCTCTCAGGTGTTGGTTCGTTTACGATTATTGATGGAAATCAGGTCAGCGGAGAAGATGCCGGAAACAAGTATGTTCTATTCTTTTCAAATATATACATGTTAAGGAAGGCAGTGCACTTTCATGGGAAGGCAAGTCCTGAATCCTAGCTTCAGTCAGGGTGATTCGGCTCTCAGTGGAAGCCATCCTTGTTTGGGATTATGGTGAGGGGGAAGTGAGATAATACAGGTAAAGTGCAATACAGCATTTGCCAAATGGGACATTAATAAAAGGTACTCATCATTACTGAATTTATTATTAATATAAGGGAGTAGTCATTATTTGTTTATTCATGTAATATGGACACTTCCTAAGCTCTTGCATTGATTTCTATATAATCATATATAATTAACAATAATACCTGTATGTCTTCTAAGCTTACTCTAGGTGTATATCTCTTTATACTGTGTCTACGAAAATGCTGTTTTAAAGATGGCTTATATATTACTCTTTAAAGATTATATGTAGATTTTCAGAGCATTCCCAAATTTGGATTTAATGCTCTGCATCTTTTCAGGGACTAGAAGTCTGGTATCTTTCATTGTCTTTGTCAGTAGTAACAACAGTGAGTAAATATAAGGAAAACCAACAATTAGTTCATATTTAGTTTTGATGCCTTTTCTTTGGATGGTAGTGCCGGTTTCTGCTAGGCACAGCACAGCCTTTTTTTTTTGACATATATAAAGAAGTCTTGTTATCTTTGCTTACTTGGTTGGTTAGAGTAGAATGTGATAAAAATAGAGTTTCTTCTATGGAACCAGTGAGTTTATGCTGAAAAATGGCATCCTGACTCTGATCAGCAGCCTCATATCTGGGCCTTTAGACATGTCAAGGGTATGTGTGGGAGGAGGCCTGAATAAATCTGTTACAGTTATGTGCAAAAACAAATGGTTCAGTACACTGAGATTAATCTATGGAACACTGGTTCTAGAGAATGTTAAAAGCTGTTAAATGGGCCAATGGGTTCCATGGTCAAATTAGTTTGGGAAATGGATCAAACGAAGTTAAAATTTCTTTACCTTAAGATTTTAGTGGCAGTGTACGGTGGCTCAGGTCTGTAATGCCAGCACTTTGAGAGGCCAAGGCAGGCAGATCATGAGGTCAGGAGATAAGACCATACTGGCCAACATGGTGAAATCCTGTCTGTACTAAAAATACAAAAATTTGGCTGGACATGGTGGCTCATGCCTGTAGTCCCACCACTTTGGGAGGCCAAAGCGGGCAAATCCCCTGAGGTCAGGAGTTTGAGACCAGCCTGACCAACATGGAGAAACACCATCTCTACTAAAAATACAAAAAGTTAGCTGGGTGTGGTGGCGCCTGCCTGTAATCTCAGCTACTCGGGAGGCTGAGGCAGGAGAATCTCTTGAACCCAGGAGGCGGAGGTTGCAGTGATCCGAGGTCCCAACATTGCACTCCAGCCAGGGCGACGAGTGAAACTCTGTCTCAAAAAAAAAAAAAAAAATTAGATGTGGCGGTGCATGCCTGTAATCCCAGCTACTTGGGAGGCTGAGGCAAGGAGAATCCCTTGAACCAGGGAGTCGGAGGTTGCAGTGAGCCGAGATGGTACCACTGCACTCCAGCCTGGTGACAGAGTAAGACTCTGTCTCAAAAAAAAAAATTTAGGGCCGGGCGCGGTGGCTCAAGCCTGTAATCCCAGCACTTTGGGAGGCCGAGGCGGGTGGATCACGAGGTCAAGAGATCCAGACCATCCTGGTCAACATGGTGAAACCCCGTCTCTACTAAAAATACAAAAAATTAGCTGGGCATGGTGGCGCGTGCCTGTAATCCCAGCTACTCAGGAGGCTGAGGCAGGAGAATTGCCTGAACCCAGGAGGCCGGAGGTTGCGGTGAGCCGAGATCGCGCCATTGCACTCCAGCCTGGGTAACAAGAGCGAATCTCTGTCTCAAAAAAAAAAAAAAAGAAAAAATTTAGTATTATATTTATGTATATTATGAATTTCCAAGAGGGAAATATAGCATATGGTGATTCCCAAACTTTTTTTGGCCAAGGAACCCTTTTCTCTCAGAGGATCTTGTGATATTCACATTCTATGGTACACACTTTGGGAAACATTGACTTATTAGCCTATCTTTGTTTATAAGCCTATCTGATTTTCTTCCTCTAGGAAGGCCATTACTATCTGTAATCACAATATAGCTTGTTTTATACTATGAATGAATATGCATGCTATTACAAACAGCTTTTCCTTTAAAATTAGTAAGCTTAACTTTTTTTCCCTTTATTCTGTTCACTTTAGTTTCTTCCTTCAAAGAAGCAGTATCGGCAAGGTAAACAATTTGTTAGAGAATATAGTTGCACGTGAGGATCTAATGGTTCCACTATGTTTTGATTGTTTGAAAAGCTTTGACTTTAAAAAAGTGTATTATTTCTCTGAAAAAAAGTTACCTAATTTTTCTAATCTTGTAAATCTTCACATGTTTGGTAGTTAAAAAACTTAGAAGTACTTATCTGTGCTTATACATTGTATCCTGTATTAAAGCTAAATCTTGAGTAATGTAATATTCAGAGGATGGATCCTGGTTAACAAAATTTTTAATAAGAGCCAGAAGATCTTCTATCTTTGTATTTCAAATTAAAAAATCTTATGAAACCATATTAGTCAACTTAGTGAAATGACTGTTAGCTTTGTGATTAATCACTCTTGTACAGGATTCTAGATTTGGGGGGTTACAGTGAGTCTGAACATGATCTAGGATATTCCTGCCTGCTACCTAGAGTTTTTTGGTCATTTGTCAAATCAAAAAAGTAGAGTACAAATAATGTCATTTGAGAACTCCGGATAATGATGGTTTTGCTTTGTTTTAAGTAATATTCTGTTGAGTTGTAAACACTAGGGGAAGCAGAATTGGCTGGGACTGGTGGCTCATGCCTGTAGTCTCAGCACTTTGGGAGGTCAAGGCAGGAGGATTGCTTGAGGCCAGGTGTTCAAAATCAGCCTGGGCAACATGGCAAGACCCTGTCTCTACAAAATATATATTTTTTAAATTAGCTGGGCTTGGTAGCACATGCCTGTAGTTCCACCTACTTGAGAGGCTGAGGCAGGAGGATTGCTTAAGCCTAGGAGTTTGAGGCTGCAGTGAGCTATGATCAGGCCACTATGCTTCAAACTGGGCAACAGAGCAAAAGCCTTTCTCTAAAAAGAAAAAAGAAGGGAAATAGAGTTGTCATACTTATGCATGAAATTTGGATAGTTTTACAGTATATTTGCCTGTTCCATAAATTGGGGGATTATATTGTGACCAAGCTTTTTTCTAATTCAAGTTAAATGCTTTTTTTTTTTAAAAAGAACCGAGCTCAAGCTGCCATGGAATTCTTACAAGAATTAAATAGTGATGTCTCTGGAAGTTTTGTGGAAGAGGTATATATGTACACACATTTTTATGTCTATGCTGAAATACAATTTTTTTTAATAATTCAAAGCCCTAGAAATTTAGAATTTTGAATCTTTGTATCATTTATGATTAGTTGAATTGGATTTGTTGCCTCATTTGTTGTAAAATAGCTTAACTATCTCTGCCTTGTTTAATATGATTGTGAAATTGTTGGGTTTTTTTCTTTGCTGTCCTATTTAGAGTCCAGAAAACCTTCTAGACAATGATCCTTCATTTTTCTGTAGGTTTACTGTTGTGGTTGCAACTCAGCTTCCTGAAAGGTAAATTTTTATATTAATATGTTTTTATTTTAATCTTATTAGATTTGCATTGTTTTATCAGCACAGTCTATTGATTATTTTTTAAAATTCTTAAATTCTATAGAAACTTTTAAATTTGAAATTCTTGGCCAGGCATGGTGGCTCACACCTGTAATCCCAGCACTTTGGGAGGCTGAGGAGGGTGGATTGCTTGAGCTCAGGAATTTGAAACCAGCCTGGGCAGCATGGCAAAACCCCATCTCAACAAAAAATACAAAAATTAGCTGAGAGTGGTGGCGCACGCCTGTGGTCCCAGCTACTCTGGAGGCTGAGGTAGGAGGATTGCTGGAGCCCCAGGAAGTTGAGGCTGCAGTAAGCCATGATCATGCCACTCTACTCTACTCAGCCTAGGTGAGACTTGGTCTCAAAAAAATAACTTAAAAAAAAAAAAAAAAGAGAAATTCTTAGAACTCTTCCAGCATTGGAATCATGATATACAAAGTTTTTAAAATCCCAGA